AAGATCCCACATGCCGTGGAGCGGCTGGGCCCGTGAGCCATGGCCGCTGAGCCGTCCGGTCCGGAGCCTGTGCTCCGCAAATGGGAGAGGCCACAACAGTGAGAGGCCCGCATAACGCAAGAAAAAAAAAAAAAAAAAAAAAAAAAAAAAAGTTACATAAGGTGGTTGATAATTATGGGAAAATTTTTTTAAAAATTTGAGTGTATTGAAACTTTACTAAATCAACACTTAAAAGAGTTCATAATTGCTGGGGGAAAAGGAGCTTTAGCCATGTCCTGTATTTGCAGGATCTGTCTCTAAGGTCTTATGAGACTTTGGAGTGAAGCAGAATCCCCTATAAGGTCTGTTAAACACAGACTGCTCGGCCCCACCCCTCCTTCTGGTCCCACAGGTCTGGGGCAAACCCAAGAAATGTACATTTCTAACAAGTTTCCAGGTGATGCTGACACTGTTGATTTGGGGAACACTGACAACCACAGCTCCAGTCTGAGAGAGTGAGTTACCAATTCAGAAGGGAGTGCACTAAGTCCCAGACTAGGATGCAGGATGAAAGTGGCATTGTGTCAGCACTTTTCCATGCTCATCTTTTCACTTATTTTATTTTTTATTTAACAGGTACTTATATCATGTGCCAGGCACCCTTCTGAGAGTTTTACAGTATTAAGGATTTTAATTCTCATAACAGTGTCTCAGGGATCGGATCTTCGATCAGTACTGCAAAGTCCAAGGACCTACAGGGTTTCATCTGTGCGAGTTCTGTCTTTAAAAGGAGAAAAAGAGTCAGAATGCTACTGCTTTTGGTCAGGAGTAAAGTGATTACTCTCACGGTCCCTTGCCAGTCACCTGGTAAGCGTGGTCGGTGTGCACGAGGTAGAGGGTGGTGGGAGCAGAGCGGCTCAAGGGTGTCATCAATTTTGTCTCAGTTTTGGCACAAGGAGTTTCTGTTCTGCTGGAATCTGGGATGGGGAAAGTAGGAGGCGAAGCCAGGGACTGGGAGGGCGAAACCGGGGCCAGGCTGCTCAGTCCGTCTGCCACCGAGTCTGTGTTGAGCTTGATCTCAGTGTAGTAAAAGTCTTCTTCTCCATCACTGTAGTCAGACTCCCCAACACGCCTAATGCAAAAGAGAGCAAAACAATCCTACTCAGCCAAGCCGTTTTCTTGCCTTGAAATCTGGCACATCACATGCTGTTCCTTCTGTCTGGAATGCTTTTCTTCTGTTCTGTCTGCCTGGCAAACTCTTACCTATCCTGCAACACTCAACTGTCCACTTCCAGGGAAGCCTTCCTTGACTTCCTAAAGCAATTTATTCAATTAACCAACCAACCAATCAATTGTTCAACAACAATTCATTGAGAGTCTACTATGTCCTGGCTCTTCTTTTAGAGTCCCACTATTACAGTGAACAAAACATAAATAGACTCTGCCCTGATGGAACATACAGCCTAGGGGGAGAGGCAGACAAGAAACCCATAATGGAACACATCAAAAAGAATAAAATACGTAGGAATAATCCTACCTAAGGAGGTAAAAGACCTGTACTCAGAAAGCTGTATGACACGGATGAAAGAAATTGAAGACAACACAAACAGATGGAAAAATGTACCGTGTTCTTGGATTGGAAGAATTAATATTGTTAAAATGACCACACTCCCCAAGGCCATCTACAGATTCAATGTAATCCCTATGAAAATACCAATGGCAGTTTTCACTGAACTAGAACAGATAATTTTAAAATTTGTATGAAAACACAAAAGACTCCAAATAGCTAAAACAATCTTCAGAAAGAACAGAGCTGGAAGAATCATGCTCCCTGACTTCAGTATAAAGCTATAGTAATCAAAATAGTATGGCACTGGCACAAAAACAGACACACAGATCAATGGAAAAGAACAGAGAGCCCAGAAATAGACTCACGCACTTGTGGTCAATTAACCTGCGATAAAGGAGGCAAGAATATACAATGGAGAAAAGGCAGTCTCTTCCATAAGTGGTGCTGGGAAAACTGGACAGCAACATGTAAAAGAATGAAATAAGAACACTCCCTAATACCATACACAAAATAAACTAAAAATGGATTAAAGACCTAAATGTAAGACATGACACCATAAAACTGCTAGAGGAAAACATAGGCAGAACACTCTTTGACATAAATTGTAGCAATATTTTTTTGGATCTGTCTCCAAGCAAAGGAAATATAAGTAAAAAATAAAGAAATGGGACCTAATTAAACTTGAAAACTTTTGCATAGCAATGGAAACCACTGGCAAAACAAAAAGACAACCTATTGAATGGGAGAAAATATTTGCAAGTGATATGACCGATAAGCGGTTACTATCCAAAATATATAAATAGCTCATTAACTCAACATTAAAAAAAAAAACCTTATTAAAAAATGGGCAGAAGATCTGAATAGACATTTTTCCAAAGAGGACATGAAGATGGCCAACAGGCACATGAAAAGATGCTCAACATCACTAATCATCAGGGAGATGCAAATCAAAACCACAATGAGGTATCACCTTAAACCTGTCAGAATGACTATCATCAAAAAGAACAAAAATAACAAATGTTGGCGAGAATATGGAGAAAAGGGAACACTTATACACTGTTGGTGGGAATGTAAATTGGTGTAGTCACTGTGGAAAATAGTATGGAGGTTTCTCAAAAAACTAAAAATAGAACTACCATATGACCCAGCAATTCCACTCCTGGGTATATATCTAAAAAACACAAAACAAAACAGTAATTCAAAAAGATACATGCACCCCAATGTTCATAGCAGCATTATGTACAATTGCCAAGATATGGAAGCAACCTAAGTGTCCATCAACAGAGGAAGGATATAGAAGATGTGAGATACACACACACACACACACACACACACACACACACACACACACACACAGAGACACACACAATGGAATACTACTCAGGCATTAAAAAAGAATGAAGTTTTTGCCATTTGTAACAACATGAATGGACTTGGAGGGTATTATGCTAAGTGAAATAAGTCAGATTGAGAAAGACAAATACTGTATGATGTTACTTATATATGGAATCTAAAACATACAACAAACTACTGAATATAACAAAAAAGAAGCAGCCTCACAGATATAGAGGACAAACCAGTAGTTATCAGTGGGGAGAGGGGAGGGAGGAGGGCCATATGTATAAAATAAGCTACAAGGATATATTACTGTACAATACAGGGAATATAGCCAATATTTTGTAACAACTATAAGTGGAGTATAACCTTAAAAAATTGTGAATCACCAGAATGTACATCTATAACTTATATAATATTGTACATCGACTATAACTCATAAAAAAAGTAAACCCATAAGGAAATAGACATTTAATACATCAGGTAGTGATAAATCCCAGAAAGAAAAGTTAAGCAGCATTAAGAGTGTCCTTAATCAGCGTAAATGACGGGGGCATCATTTTAAATAGTGTGTTCAGAGGAAGACTCTCCGAGGAGGTAGTATTTGAGCAGACGTCTATATGAGGTGAGGGAGAAACCCATGTGGGAACCATGTGGGAAGAATGCACAGAGTCCTGGGGTGAGCCGTCTTGGCACTTTCCAAGAAGGGCAGAGAGGCAGGTGGCTGGTGCTCGGGGCACCAGGCAGAGGGTAATGAGAGCAGAGTGGCAAGGAAGGCAGAGGCAAGATCGCACAGGGCTCTGTAGCCCTGGGGAAAGATTTGGGATTTTGTCCTGAATGTGATGGAAGCTTCTGCAGATTTTGAGGACTCTGAGTTACTTGTTATTTATTTTTTATTTTTAAAAATTGAAGTATAGTTAATTTACAATGTTGTGTTAGTTTCAGGTGTACAGCAAACTGACTATATATATATATTTAATATATTATATATATATAAAAAGCATATTTATATATACATATACATATATATATATGTATATAAAGCATATATATATATATATATATATATATATATATAAAGCATATATTTTTCAGACTCTTTTCCATTATAGGTTATTACAAGATATTGAGTATAGTTCCCTGTGCTATACAGTAAGTCCTTGTTGTTTATCTGTTTTATATACAGTACTGTGTATTTGTTAATCCCAAGCTCCTAATTTATCTCTCCCCAGTTCACCCCCTCTCATGCTATGCCCTTTGGTAACCATAAGTTTGTTTTCTAATGCCATCTAATGCCATTTGTAGCAACATGGATGGACCTAGAGATTTTCATATTAAGTGAAGTAAGACAAAGACAAATATCATATGCTACCACTAGTATATGGAATCTAAAAAAATGATACCAATGAACTTATTTACGAAACAGAAATAGACTCATAAGTTACTTTTTTTTTTTTTTTTTTTTTTTTGCAGTACGCGGGCCTCTCACTGTTGTGGGCTCTCCCGTTGCGGAGCACAGGCTCTGGATGCGCAGGCTCAGCGGCCATGGCTCACGGGCCCAGCCGCTGCGCGGCATGTGGGATCTTCCCGGACCGGGGCACGAGCCCGTGTCCCCTGCATCGGCAGGCGGACTCTCAACCACTGCGCCACCAGGGAAGCCCTCGTAAGCTACTTTTTAAAAAGATCACTCTGGCAATTGTCTGGAGAGAGAATAGAGGAGAGGAGGGCAAGAGGGGTGGGAGGCCAGCGAGCCGACTGTGGAGCAGTTGACAGTGACTGGGCGAGAGGCGGGAGGTGGAAGTGACCTGAGCTCTCAAATCGGGGAAGTATTTTGCACGTTAGGTGTTAGGACTTAATTCCGAACTGTTAGATCCTCTGAGCTCCCCGTGAGGTGCGTTCAGTTTATTTAATTCACTTTATGTAATGACTTGGTACATTTCTGTAATTTGTTTTAAACCCCTGTCGCCTCCCTAAGACTGATTCTCTAGGGCTATGTCTTGTTCATCTTTGTGTCACACCACACATATCAGAGCATCTGGCCTACAGTAGGTGCCTATTAAATGTTGAATGAATGAACAAAGGAAGCTGATGTTATAGCACAGTGATTCCCAGCATGAAATCTGGAGTCGGATTTCCTGGGTTCAAATCCTGACAGCTTCTAGCTGTGTGTGTGATTTTGGCAGCCTGCGCCTTTATATAAAATGATATAGCACAGCTGGCCCACCATATCTGTGGGTTCTGCAGCTGCAGGTATGGAGGCCTACTGCATACGTGCTTAGAAGTGTACCGCACACATAATAAGCACTGAGTGCGTATTAAATAAAAATAAGGCTGATGTTAAAAAGGCCTCAATGTTGTGACTTCCCTGGTGGCGCAGTGGTTAAGAATCCGCCTGCCAATGCAGGGGACGCAGGTTCAGTCCCTGGTCCGGGAAGATCCCACATGCCGTGGAGCAACTAAGCCCGTGAGCCACAACTACTGGAGCCTGCGCTCTAGAGCCTGCAAGCCACAACTACTGAGCCTGCATGCTACAACTACTGGAGCCCGTGCGCCTAGAGCCCGTGCTCTGCAACAAGAGAAGCCACTGCAATGAGAAGCCTGCGCACCGCAATGAAGAGTAGCCCCTGCTCGCTGCAACTAGAGAAAAGCCCACAGGCAGCAACGAAGACCCAAGGCAGCCAAAAATTAAAAAATAAATTTATATATATATAAAAAAAAGCCTCAATGTTTACTATCACCAGGAAAAATATCTTCTAGTACTTCTGCAGGTTTTCTCCCTGAGACATGGAAAATTGTACTTTTCCACAGAAGGCTTTGCATAAAATAACTGTCGAGTAAATAACATTTATTGGATTTATGAATTTCTAGGGAAATGGTGCACAACTGGCCACTTGGTTTTATGGGATAGCCTCTGCACATCTCCCTTCCCTGGGGCATCCCCAAATTTCATGACCACATCCAGCAGGCGCAGGACACTGACTCGGAATAAACTTTCCCCACTTACAATCCCTATATAGAACTTAAAACACAAGTCTCCCCTTCTCCTCGGCCTTTCTGTTTAGCCACATCGGGGGCTTCTCCCAGCCTCGTTCCATTTCCCCTGAGGTCTCAGGCTGAGGCGTCTAGGGAGGTGTCTGCACTGTACCAGGTCCGGCTGGGTTTGGTTTTCCTACAAGCAGAGCACGGAAGACCCCAGAGAGTGGGCTGAAGAATGTGCGCCTGTTCTATTCCTGTCCCCACTTCCTCTCCAGTAAAGGGCAGGCCGAGTTGCTACTAGCTGCCTGAGTGCCACTAATAGACACACAGGCCTGGGGGAAATTGTGTGTCCTACACGGGGATAAATCAGGATCAGCCCCTGGTGTATAATAATGGAGTGAGAAAAACAGTGTACTTTTTATACTGGCATGGTGTGCACTGCAGCTACATCAGATGCAAGACACATATTTGGGGGTTCTGGAATGTCCCCTTCTTCCCCTAGGTCCCACAGCCAACACGCATTAAAAATGCCCTATCCTCCTACAGTCACATCATGGAGGACGTGGGTTACGGCAAAGGCGGTCCCCTTCCGAACCCTACCCAGGTCCACGAGAGCTTCATATATAGACAGAGCAGCCTTGGAGTACTGCTAACCCAGGCCCATTCCTGTGCGATGGCTGGCAGGGATGTGAATCCTAAGTCACCAAGGCAATGTGAGGCACACAGAGTAAAAAGGGAATCCCAGGGAAGTGAATACAGCAGCTGCACGTTGAATTTCACCCACCATGAGAGCACCCCGGAAGCTCAAAGGAAAATCCTGTGATGCCGTTTATAGTCTATAAATACATATATGTGGCATGTGTTTCTGTGTAGTGCTGAATAGGATTCGAATCGTTGGGCAGAGGGAGTTTAAAACAAATACCCCAGGTCCTGATTACAGCTTCCAGAAGCCCTTCCTAAACCTTTAAAGAACTCTGAGCTATTTACTCTGTGAGCTGTGCTGACAGTGAGGTTTGAGAGGAGAAGCTGCAGGATCTCCTTCTCCGAAGAACTTTAGTAACAGGAGGGCATTCTGCCCCGCAGTGTTTCAGTGTGGTGTTTCCTGGAGGATGAAGTGGACCCTCAGGCTAGCGGAGCAGACGCCCTGCTTTGCTGGGCCACACCCACGGCGCTTGGTGACTTTCCACGTGCTGTGCCCTGGAAGGGTCTGGCTGTGTCTCCAGCATCCCAAGCCTACAGGTTAGGGAGATAGATCTCTGCTTCTCTTTAGTCACTGAAGGGGCCGATCCACACCAATCAGCAAAATCACCTTAGAACCAGTTCTTGTTTTCTTTTTCTACCACTTTTTTTTATGGATGATGTATTCCCTAAATTTATCCCTTGCTGGGCAAAGTGACTGTAGTGTTTATTTCTCAACACTCATCTTTTTGAAAGGGCTCCTCTGTGTCCAAGCATTTTGGGGGCTGGTCATGTATTTGGATTTGCCTTATGCACGCTGGTTATGACTTACAGCTTCTCAGGGTCTCTCCTCAGTCCCAGATCCCTGGACAAGAAAAACCCAGAGACTAAAACACAAGGCAACTGAACTACCATTGCCCCTCTGGAGTGGCCCCCTAATCCCTGTTGCTAGACACTTAGCTTCATCTTTCCTTAGAATGGTTTCTATATAACACAAGGAAGTGTCAGTTGTACAAATAAAGGACTTATTTGGGCAACAGAAAATGATAGAGCAGGTCATCAGGCATCATAAGAATAGGAACAGCAGCACTGATTGTCACTGTGGTTCTTAAACCCTTTTCAGGTTATATCTGCCTTTGAGGCTCAAAGTCACGAATACACTCCATTGGGAAAAAAGTGCACATCTAATTTTACAGACAATTTCAAGGGGTTCAAGGACCCCTTACCCTACCCTACCCTACCCTAGTGGTCCATCTTTTACAAGTTATTCCGACATACATTTTAGTTTTGACCCTCACACATGTCCCTGCAGGGCTGACATTATTAGCCTCATTTTCAGAAGGACCTGAGGCTCCAAGCAGTGACTTGTTTAATATCACTTAGTGCAGCGGTCCCCACCCTTTTTGGCACCAGGGACCAAAGTTTCTGGAAGACAATTTTTCCAGAGAGCGGGTGGTGGAGGAGGATGGTCCAGGCGGTAATGCGAGCCATGGGGAGTGGCTGTAAATGCAGGTGAAGCTTCGCTCACTTGCCCACCGCTCACCTCCTGCTGTGCGGCCCGGTTCCTAACAGGCCACGGACAGGTACCGATCCTCGGTCCTGGGATTGGGGACCCCTGACTTAGTGAGTATATTAGGGAGGCTTTACAAATTTAAGTCACCTTCTTTCCACTTGCCATACTGGCCTATATTATCTGCAGTGGGCATCTCCATGGTGATTAGGAAGATCAAGCTGGCTTAGTCCCTAGTCCTGTGTTCAGAATTTTTAGGGCACAGTGTGGTGTGTAATTCTGAGTGCAAGTGACCCTGGATCGAACTGATGGAGATACGCCAAGCTCTGAAGGGAGGGCTGCCTTACCCAAGATGAATGGTCCGGATGTGCTTCTGGATACCCACTGCAGTGCTCAGAACCTTCCCACAGTTTTTCCAGAGGCATTTGAACATCACCTTCATGGAGTTCTATAAATGGGAGAGAAAGTTACATTAAAATGAAAACTAACCCAACAATTTAAATTTTTTCCTTCATTAGAAAAGTAGCAGCACCCCATTCTCTTGACTATAACTCAGCACACCATTCTAGGAAACCCCCTGGCTGGTGAGAATCTTGGTGACCTCAGAGATTTTCTTGCATCCTTCATGAATACTGAGCCCTGCTGGAACATTTAGTTCACTTTCATTAAGGTGGTGACAGTGTCATTTAGGCATTAATGACAGTGTCTAACATTCACTGAGCACTTACCATGTGCCAGGTGCTAGTCTAAGAATTTATCTCATTTAATCCTAAAAGATGGATGCTATTATTATCACCATTTTACAGATTCATGGAAAGCTTCAGGAAAACTTGCCCTGTCTATGAGCCAGCTTCCAGCAAAGCTGGGATATGAAGTTTGGGAGTCTGGTTCCAGGAACCACTCTCTCCACCAGGATACAGTTCCATCTTCTCTTACAAGGATCTCAGAAGTTTTCCAAAACAGTCCAGCACAGGGATTGAGAGCACCGATTCTGGACTGCCTTTCTCAAGTCCTGGTTTCCTTATTTATCAAGTAGGAACAATAGTACCTGTCTCATAAGGTTATTATGAGGATTAAATGAGGTCATGAAAGTGAATCATTTAGCGCAATACTGACGAGAGTAATTATTCAACCAATGGCAGCTATTATGGTCTTATTATGATTATACTTCCCGGAGTGAATTTGACAGGGAGTGAGTTTTCTCCAGGGAGGGTGCTTGTCGTTGGACTGCTGTCTCTTTGCTAATTGTTTCCATGGGCACGGTGACAATCACTTCCATGTACTCACCAAGCCCCATCCCGTTTTCGCCTGGGAACAGACTAGACTTCACTTCCCAGCCTCCCTTGCAGTTAGGTGGGGTCAGCGCCAGGGGAACATGGGCAGAAGTGACACACATTCCTTCTAAGCCTTGTCCCTAAACTGCTTCTCAATGTCACCCAAGCCCGCTCTGCTGACTAGAGGTAGGGGATACCCAAGGACTTAGGGGACAGTAGAACCACTAGATCAGAGATTTTAAAATTTTCAATATTTAAAAAATCGAAGTGTAGTTGATTTACACCGTTGTGTTTATTTCTGCTGTATAACAAAGTGATTCAGTTATACATGCATACACACACACACACACACACACACACACACACATTCTTTTTTTAAATATTCTTTTCCATTATGGTTTATCATAGGATATTGAATACAGTTCCCTGTGCTATATAGTCAGACCTTGTTGTTTAGATCAGGGATTTTTAATCCTTTGTTTGCCATGAACTCTTCTGGCAGTCTGTTAAATTCCATGGACCCCTTCTTGAATAATGTTTTTTAATGTTTAAAATAAAATACATAGGATTATGAAAAACTGCAAGAGTACTGAAACAGCTATGAAAATATTTAAAAATTTTGTGAAATGGTAATATATGTACTCTTTCACCCATTAAATAACAAGAGCTTTAAGTGAGTCTGGTAACTACCATAATTTCAAAGTAGTGTTAAGCATAAATGATATTTCATGATATCTGCTAAAATGGTAAGGTGATATGAAAATATCCATGATTTCTATTGGTACTAAAGTCACAGGTGGCATTAACTTTATTGTGGTTTGATGTCTTTGATCATAATTGCAGGAAATGCTAAATTATAGTTAAAAGATTCATGACAATAAAGATATACTTCTTCTGCCATCCAAGTTCACAGACTCCCTGAATTCTGTCCACCCCCTTTCCGGGACCTGTGGACTCCAGGTTAAGAACCTCTGTACCAGGAGGAAGGAGCCTGGATCCTTGAAGGATTGTGTGGGGCAGAGACACCCCTTCACCACCCCCGCTGACCTGATTGGATTGTGACATGAGAAATCCTTTAAGGCGTTAAGCCACTGACGTTTGGGAATGGGTTGTTTCAACCGTAAGCCTACCCTGACCAATCAACATAGTAGTCATGACACCTTCCTTGAACTGACGACGGAATTGATGTAGCTTTGTTTACAAGTCTAGTAGGATTTCTGCCCTCAAGCCCTGTTCTAGAAAGCAATCATTTACACATTTAGAGGATGATTCATCAGCTATTATGATGGGATTAATATCCTGATCCAGCCAGCCACCCACCCGCACCCAAGTCTTTCTCTAGGTTTCTCAGTTGAAACAAGGTACCTGGCAACTTCCGGAGTGAGGAGTATCCTGTGTGTCGGGAATGGTCACTTTCAGCGTGGCAAGTGGAGGACAGAGCATGGTGGCACATGGCCACAGTCTGCTGGGAAAGATTAGTGACAGCAGAAGGAGCCCACGCCTCCTGTGCGCTTCATGAGCCCAGTGGCCTACGGGTCCCAGAGGCTCTGGCCAGGTGGCCGGCAGTCCTGACACAGCAACCTAGCCATTCCCACTGGAGCTCCCGGGCATCTCAGACAGCCTGCCTGTGCTCCCCGCTGCAATGGGCAGTACTGAGCCCTAGGAGCTGCAGCAGCAAAGAGATGGAACAGAAGGTGAGAGAGGGATGTGAGGGGGGCTGAGAAGCAGAGACAGAATTAGGAGACTTTAAAGTACATGATCCTGATGCGTCGTCGGTGTTTATTCTAAGGAGACAGTTCACAAATTTCAGGCTCCCTGATCTGCTTGAGCCACTGATCCAAACACCTGAGATGTAAGATGAGCCAAAGGGGGAGAGTTTAAATCTTGCCCTGCCCCCCACCCAAACCCCAAGGCTCACAAAAAAGAATTCTGCTTGGTGTTTTTTATTCAAAGCATATGACAACTTAACAGTATGAATGAACAAATCCTCACCCTAGGAATGCTTTCTGCCCATTTTTCAAACAATGAAGCTATACTATTAAAAATTATCTTCCACTTAAGGGAATTAATGACTCAAACCAAAATTACAGTATCTGAGAGTCCAAATATCCATCTGGAAATGAATTCATGATAGATGAAAACACTTTCTGATTCATTCCAAGCCTTTTTTGCTGATGGTATTCCTTTATTCATTAAACCAGGTAGCTATTTAGCAAGGAATATTCCAGTGGCTGGTGACAGAAAGAAATCTAAGAAGCTGTTCTCCAGGAACTTAGATCCTAGTGGGAGAGAGAGAGAAATGATAATAAATGATGATTGTTTCAGGTGTGGTAAGGTCACTGGAAATGGGGGTGGGCTGCGTTAGGTCAGACAAAGCCTCTAGAAAGTGACTTCTGAGTTGGGACCTGAAGTTTGGAGAAGCCAGTCATGCTATGACTAGAGTTTTCCAGGCAGAGGCAAGAATTAATGCAAAGGTGTGAAGATGGGGAAGAGCTTGACATATTGTAGGGCCAGAAATGACAGTGAATTTAGAGGGAAAGGAGAGAGGCTGTGATCTGTTTGAAATAACGTGGAGAGGCAAGGAGGGCCAGATCATGCAGGGTCTTGTAGGTGAAGGTAAGGAATTTGGATTTTATTCTAAAATAAAGAAGCTACTGAAGGGGTTTAAGGAGGGGAACGACATTATATGATTTAGGCTTTAAGAAAACATCACTCTATTCTGGGGAGAGAACAATAAGGTCACCAGTGTGATGCTCCCACAGGTCAGAGAAGAGGGCGGCTGGAAGGTTTGGGCGGTGAGAATAGAGAAAAGTAGACACATTCAAGATCCATTTTGGTGCTCTGTAATGGCCTATACGGGAGAAGAATCTAAAAAAGAGTGGACATATGTACACGTATAACTGATTCACCTTGCTGTACACCTGAAACTAACACAACATTGTAAATCAACTCTACTCCAATAAAAATTCAAAAAAAAAAAAAGATCCATTTTTGAGGCAGATCAAACAGTACTTGCTGTTGGGCTGAGTATGAGGAATGTTAAAAGGGGTGGTGTTAAAGATGACTTCTATAGCTTTGTGAGTTGTGGTTCTGTTTAGGATATGCTAATTTTGAGATACCTGTTATTGATCAACAGGAGGTGGCAAGCAGGACCATGGATCTATGAGCCTGGAACTGAGGGGAAGTCAGGGCTAGAGATGTACATTTGGAGTCAGGAGCTGAAGGATTTCTTAAAACAGATCTGGATGAGATCATCTAGGGAAAAAAAATGCAGCTAGAGATGATCAGAAGGCCCAGGATACTGCAGCATCCAATATTTCATGTAGGAGATGAAAGGGCAGCCAGAGAGAGAGAGGGTGGGGAAAGTAGTAGTAATCCAGACAGTGTGGTATTACCGGCACAAAGAGAAGAAAGTGGTTTAAGAAGGGATATGTGACTTATCCAGTATCACTTGATGATTCCTACCAATTGGTCAGTTAGATAAAGTCTTTTGAAATTAATATAATAGTATTACACAACGTATAGGGCCAAATTCACTCTACATCTTAGGAATTTTGTAAAGGGTCAAACTGCTGATTGTTTTAGGAAGTGACAATCACAGTGGTATTTTTGTGCCATAACAAGTATTATGTATAACATTCTGTTCCTAGTCTTTGCAATAATACGTCAAGCATTTGCTTCTTGAATTGATTACTAAAGCTTGGTACTGATTATAGAAAAATAAATGTCATTGGTATAACTCCCTTCCTTAGTTAGGAGGAAATAGCTGGTATAGAGGTATCAAATCCCCAAAATACAATGAAGCTGACCAATATCCTCTCTAAATCCCTTGGAATTTGGAGACCTACCAATTGCAAGTGTTTGTGTGTCATCTCGTCAATTACGCCCATACGTTTTTTGGGCCCCTGCTAAGGGCTCCAAAGAAATCTGTTGCCCAAAGAAAATTAGGTAATGGAAATGAAGAAAAATGATCAACTTTGCTTCCTCCTTGCTCTTCTCTTTTGCCCGTGGGGTACCACACCATCCCTTCTGATTCCTTCTAGCCCTATCTACACCTTTATAAAGAGCCTCTTCATTAAACTCTTCTCAATTACCCCACTTGAGAACACCACCAGCTTCCCCCAGGACCTTGATTGAAATGAGGAAAAAGTAGGTTATAAAAGAATAAGAACAA